GAAACTATAAAAAATTCCAGCATTTTGAGCCCAAGTTGCGAACGAATCGTCTGGGATGGTCTCAATTATACAGAGAGTCGAGTGATTATTTAACAGGAAAAAGTAGGTTTGAGGATTTTTGCTATAAAAATAGATTTCCAGTAGCTTGCCGTCACTGTAAATGAGCCCAATTAGGAAGCTTAGGACTGAAAAGCTTTAAAAAACTTTTATTAGGTTTGATTAATCTTCATCGATTTTTGGTGCTTTCTTTTTTTAGATGCTTGACATTGAAATAGCGCATGTCATAATTGACTTTGGCTCTGGATTGGTTAGAAAGTCACCAGCATACCGATAGGGTCGAAAAGTGAATACAACTTTGAATGGATGAAAACCACTCAAGACTTTGGCTTCTTCTCTTTTTCAACTGCAAGCTTGCTTCTCAAGATTTTCTTCTCTGCATGTCATTTTCCTAGTCATTCCTTCTTCGGCTTCTTGTGGTTCAGCTTTCAGGTTCTCATTGTTCTCTTTTGGGGCTCTAAAAACGTTTTCCATTCTTCTAGTGCTTTGAATGCACCCTTTTCACTTTCGCAAACTTCTCCCACTACAGAAAATTGAGGACATTTTTATATTTTTTGAAGTCAAATTCAATGTGTCTTCATTCTCATCCGCTTCCTTGAATGTTATTTTCTTTGCCATTCATTCCTTTCTCAACATTTTGTGGTTGAGCTTCGATTGCATAATTGTTATCTTGTTTTTTAGATTTAGTGGTCTTGATTCTCGTTTTTGTGGGCTGCATTTTATCTTGCATACCGCGCTCAGACTCTTTGGTAAACTTCCCCCAATACAAAACTGAAGTATTTCTTTAATCATCTTTAACTTGAAGCTCTTTATCTTCATTCTCTTCCATTAAAGTCATTTATTTTGCTAATTCTTCCTCACCTTTCAGATTTTTATTGTTACCTTATTTTAATAATGTTTCCCATTTGCCATTGATCTAAATGCCTGCCTTTGGGGATTGCTTTCCATCTTTGAGTATCTTCGATAGTTTCCATTCAGCATCAGTTGCATCGCTGCAACTCTTTAGTGAACTTCTCTCAATCCTCCACTTTAGTTTTGTTAATTTTCCAATTTATTTTATTTTGTGTTTTTCTGCAGTTATGCAGTTTTTTCCGTTGGAATGGCTTAATAATCGATCGGCTCAATTGGGTGAAAATGCACAGATTTCTTTAAACAGTCATTTATTTAATGAATAATCCCCAAAAAAAACACAATTTCTCATACATTGTAACCAGCAAGGACGTTTTCTTCGGATTTCGATATGTTTTGGAGTCAATTTCGATCGGAACATTAAAGCTTCGCAAGAACAATTTCATATTTTGTAAG